ACTGACAGAAGACTGGCCAGGAAAAGTGAGAAACTGTCACCACGATACTTTGGGCCTTACGATGTGATGACACGCATCGGGGCGTTTGCTTACCGTTTGAAGTTAACCACCATCCGCATTACACCCAGTCTTCCATGTATCACAGCTGAAACATGCAATTGGAGATCATACACCATCGTTTACACTACCACCGACGCTGTCGGAGGACTTGGAAATAATTTTGGAGCACTAGAGATCAAAGGAGTGTACCGAGGAGTAGGGGGAGCAAAGGAGGTACTAATTATGTGGAAAGGACTGTTAGACTATGAGGCAACATGGGAGTCGTATGAGGTGATACACAAGCAATTTCCATCTTTCCATCTTGAGGACAAGGTAAATCTTTGGGAGGGGAGTATTATTACGCTCGTAACAGGCAGAACGAGACTAGTCCAGCCAGCCCACTTTTTTAACAAGCGGGCTAGTCCTTGTCAATTGGAGAGGTCGAACGACCTCTTGTCGAAGCAGAAGAGAGATGGGAGCGGGTGGTATCGAACACCACCCAGCCAACCCTCTCTTTCAATAGGTGGGCCGGTCCTCATCAATTGAAGAGGACAAACGGCCTCTTGCCACAACAGAAGAGAGATGGGAGTGGGTGGGATCCACTAGGGCCCTAATCACATATACTTAAGGAGGAATTGAAGGAGTTGGGAAGGAAAGCTTGTAAGAAAAGTTTTCAAATGTTATGAGGGGATTTTATTAAGGGGATGAACCTCGGGTTTGGTATTTTTTAAGCATTATTTTGTAGTTGTTGTGTTTTTCTTCTTTCGGGGTTGTTCCTAGCGGCGTCTAGGTTATTGGAGAGTCGATCTACCACTTGAAAGTAGATCATCTTTGAATCTTTCTTGTTTTTTCGTTTGATTATTGTAAGAGCAGCTCTTATTTGTGTTTTTCCACCTATCTATTGTGATTTCTTTGTAATTTGTTTGTTGATTTTGGTGTCGAAGTATATCAAAGTATTTACTGATAGAACATCTATCACGGGTTATTGTTCATTTGTATGACGTTACCTTGTTATTCGGAGAAGTAAAAAGTAAGTTGTGGTGGCAAGAAACAATGATAAATTTGACTATCGTGCCTTGGTCCTAGGAATTTGTGAAGGGATGTGGCTAAAAAAATATTGATGGAACTTCACATGGAGAACCAAATCACTATTAAGATGTTCAGTGATAAGCAATTAGTCATCAATATTTCAAATAATCCGAACACCATGATTGAACCAAAAATATTGAGACTGACAAACTCTTCATCTCTGAGAAGGTCAATGGAGGGGTTCAACTAAGCTATATCCCAACTTAGTATCAAAGTGTTGACATTCTTACCAAAGCTCTTTCTCAGCACCACTTTAATGATTTTAGCAGCAAGTTTGAGATGTATGGCATATGCGACCCAACTTGAGGAGTGTTGATATGTACCATGTTGTTAGGAATTTGTGGGTCTGTTGTTACATTTGAGCTTAATTATTCATTATTGTGTTTTATTTCTTTTTATTATGATGATTTGAATTTTCTTCTAATTGTAAAAGGGCTAGGCTTAATGAGAAATTAGAGAGTTTTATTCTCTTAAAATCTACACAAATTAGCATGCAATGTTGTCTCTTAAGGATTAAAAAAAAAACTTTTACCACATGCATTTTTTGGCATCCTATCATTCATAGTGATGTTTGGTTTTATTGTTTTATATGTCTATTGTATGTTTAATCTTTCGTAAAGCAGGCTTGTTTAAATTTAATTTTGGATTTGATTGAAGGAGTTGCAGTTCTGAATATTTATATACGTTGCCTGTCGGAAACTCAGCAGAGTGCGGATATTATCTTCTTTCAATCTTATACAGGCAATTAAACAAAGATCATCGACATTTGATTGAGGCGTTTATAAACATACCACCTAGTTCCTATGCATTTACATATCTAAAACCTATACCTCACATTTTACAGTTATGCCATCCAAATCTTTCATTTCACATCAAAATACCATTTTTTTAACCTATAAAAAAAGGTAAAATACACATTTTCATGCATATGTAGGTGGCATACACGTAAAAATTGAAGTTTTGCTGTTAGATATGCAAATACAGGTAAAATACACGTTTTCATGCATATGTAGGTGGCATACATGTAAAAATTTTGAAGTTTTGCTGTTAGATATGCAAATACATAGGAATTTAGTGGCATGTATTTAAATGTTACTTGACTTTTTTTATATGTGAAAAACTTGGAGGGGAAGATTTTAGTCTTGCCTATTTGAACAACATCTATTGTTATAAAAAACTTTACGTGATAGGACGCTTCCTTTTATAATTAGGGAAGTGTAGTAATGCAAGTGATGGGCTGTCAAAGTTGTTATCAGCAGTTTTTGTATAGGTTAATAGTCAGGTTATTATGGAGGTAGTGGTTGTGCAAGTTAGTATCATTAGTCTAACTGTGATGTCAAACTCTTGGGTGATGTTGAGGTGTAGATCTGGGTGTGGCGCAGGTCATAACTCATAAGGGAGATAGATGGTGTAGGTTATAAGGAATTGTAGGAGATTACAGTGCCACGTCCTCAGGGACGGAAATGATAGCTTATAGAAGATAAGTATGGTTTTTAAGTCGGCTGTGGTTGCATTATAGAATCTACTACTCCCCATATCTTGGTGTGATATAGGTATTACAGACAATTGTTGTCTGCTATGTGAAACCCTTTAAGTAGAATGAATTTGAACTCTTAAATATCAAGATATCTTTTGGTGTGATGATTAGAATTTTATTGAATACTCCAAAGTGAAGGTCATGTTTGGGATCACTTTTTATATTCTGTTCTTTATTTTTGAAAAATAAAAAAACACAAAGCAAACGCAAAAATAGTATTTGTTTATTCGTTTTTTGTTTTTAAAAATTTTATTTTTAAAACGCATAAGTCTTGTTTTCAAAATATCAAAAACATATGAATTGTGTTTTTGTTGTTTTAAAAACATATTTTGTGGAGCATCATTTGTGCGAGGCTCCACTGCCCGCTGTCGGCTTAGCACGTCGGCAGTTGGCCGCCGGCTGTCGCAGCTGTCGGGCCCTCCAGCTGGCAGTCGCAGTCGTAGCCGCTGCCCCTCGCCGCTGGTCGCAAGCTGTCGCGGGCCGCTCGCCGCCAATCCTCGCTGGTTGTTGTCGCTGCTAGCCGCCCATCCACCCATATGTAATGCTTCGTGGTGGGTGGAGCAAGGAAGACGCTGTATACGCCATAGGCCACATAGCTTAATACTGGAGCGTATATGGACCCAACTGTTTTATAAAAAGTATATTTTTTTCTTCAAAAAAACTTTAAAAATACCCAACCAAACATATTTTATATTTTTTGTTTTTAAAAACATATAAATTATAACAATACCAACCTTTTTTTTCTAAAAACAGAAAATAAAAAAGAAACAAAATAAAAACAAACTAAAAACAAAAACAAAAATTGATCTCAGACAGGCCCTAAGTGTGTTCTTGTAGGATCACTCTCGGGATGGGTGACCTCCTGGGAAGTTACACCATTGAGACAAAACCATTAGGCTATTAGGCCAAAGTAGATAATATCTTGATGGATGAGAGTTTACACCTTTAGAAATTGTATCAGAGTTTAACACCAACCTGATGATGGGATTTAAGCCATGCAGAATAAAATGTCATGCCATGGAAGCCACATCTTGAACTTTATATGAGAACAAGTGCTATATGATTAGAATCACCTCTTGAATATGTAGGTGTCTCCTCTGTGGGTTTAGAGTACTAATGAGAACATTGGTTACTTAATTAAGTATGGGAGATTGTGAAATCCTTCAAGTAGAATGATGTTGAACACTTAAACATCGAGGCACCTTTTAGTGTAATGGTTAGAATTTCATCAGAAATTTCAAAGTTAAGCGTCCTCTTGCGGGAGCACTCTCAGGATGGGTGAGCTCCTGGGAAGCTACACCATTGGGACAAAACGGTGAGGCTATTATGCCAAAGAGGATATTATCTTGATAGATGAAAATTTGGGTCTTACATGATATGGCATAATTTTGGCTTTAATGAAGGTTTTGAAGGTTACGATTGTGGCACCGGTTTTGTACTAGATGGTTGTGGCATATGCCTTGAGTAGGATGCCAAGTCTTATGGGAGGTAGTGGTGGCGTTAGTATTGTTGGAGATGTTTGTGGTGTAAGTTTTGACGGAGATGGCTATCATGTAGATCTCAGTAGACGGTGCGACGTATATCCCACATAAGTGGATGTATGGTAAATGAAAACATTGATAAATGCATTAAATCAAGTATTTATATATAAAGGTGGTGTTGATCTCTATGTGCACATTCCATAAGTCCTTTCAATCGAATTTTCGGTGCCCCTAGATGGTGCTCGGGCAGATGTGGAACTTTTTGTGGCCGGTGATGCATGGCTGAAGAAGGCAGACGAGGTGGTTGCATCTGATGTGGTTCGGATTCTAGTCACTGTTAGATTAGGAAGCAAGGTGGATAATGTTATTGGGTCAGATCACTTAAAACTATAATTAACTAATCAAGTTGTTAGTTTCATTAGACAAGCTATTAACCCCAAATTATTGAGAATATGCCCTTTTCCAAATAAAGCTGGCATTGTTTTATTTGTTTTAAGAAGAATACTTTGTATCAACATTTTTGTTTGATTGGATGGGAATTTCTGTAATCATGACAATCTCATTGGATGATTAATCCCTTTAGGATGCTTTTTCATGCCGCATGAGTATTTGCATAAAATGATCCGTTAAGTTGCTACTCACCAAATTTTGCAACATGTGTCCTCTACATTAAAATTAATTTTGTTAAATATTCTCTTAAAATTAGTGATTTAGAAAAGGAGCATTTACATACATAGCACACAATTCTTATGTATTTACATATCTCACACCTAAACTTTCATATTTACACAAGTAGTTCCCTTCAAATAATTTATTATTTCAGATATCTGGCCTCATGTCCTAAATCAATGCAGGCGCGAGAGCTGATTCTCCCCTTGAAGCATCAAAGAATTTGCAGCAAGCTGCATCACCTCAAAAACCAAAGAGGAAATCTTCTACTACTAAGAAAAATAATCAAACTTCTCTTGTGACCCCAAATTCTCTCATACAAGCTGCTGCAGTTGCAGCCGGAGGGCGCATTATAGATCCTTCTGCTGCTGCCTCTTTACTCAAAGCTACGAATTCTAAGAATGTTCATCACATCAAAAGTAATCCATCCTTCTGATGCAACACACACAAAGTCTTCTGTTGTTCCTTCACCTCAAACTTTTCTAAAGATTTCTTCAGCATCTGAGACAAAATCTGGACTCTGATGCTGATCAAAATGCTGATGCTGATGTTGCCAGAAAATTATAGTTGGTTTCAGAGATGAAAGGGTTGCAAGGTTGAAGGGAAATTTTTGCTGGGAGTTGTAGATTCACAACGTGAAGTTTTGTATTCTTGTAAGTTTGATTAGTTTCTTTGAATATTATCTTAGAAATAGTGATTGTATAAATTTCTTTTTCTGGACATTTGACCCTTTAATGGATTATAAATTCTCTCTTTTTTTTTAAAGCAATACAGGCCCAAGACCTGATTCTCCTCTTAAAACATCAAAGAAGTATCACAAAATAGTGAACAAGTCTAGCTTCATTAGGGATCATTTATATTATATTTAAAGCTGTAACTTCTAAGAATGTTCATCACATAAAAAAATGAGTTATCTTGCTACAGTGTCCACAAAATAAACAAATTAAGATTGAATATAATAGTTCTCTCGCCCAAATCAACTAAATTATAGCCACACATGTATTAGTTCCTTTTTTTTTTCTTGCTACAGATATGGAAGTTTAAGCACAAGCTTAAGGAGAAGAGAAAAAAACCTTATGTACACAGCTCCTACTAATTTTGGTGCATCCATGTGATAGTCTTTCACCCCCAATATTCAGTATTGAAGATGACACCCCACACCTTCGGATTCTATCATTAAATTCTCAAAATTACTTAATGATTTCAGCTGCTGGCTAATCGAATCTATAGTCTTTTGGCAGGCAACAAACATTTCAGAAGACATAACAAAATCCCTCTCCTGCAGAAATGTAATGCATTTTATTAAGAATATAGGAATTATTCTCAAAACTGAGAGAGGAAAAGAGAACACTGCAAAATCAAAATTTACCTTTCTCAACATAATCTTGTCTTCTTGCTTCTTTGTGGACATTTGCAGAAAAATTGGCTTCTCTTCATCTACTTCCTGACGCAATGATGACACCATGTCTTGCAGCCTCTTAACTTCCAAATGTGCTGACTCCAGCTGAGTCTCCATTTCTTCTCTGCTTGCTGCTAATCCTGCAGAAATTGCTCTCTCCTCTTCCACTTTCCTTTCCAGTAAGTTTGCCTTCTTATACAGATCCTCCACTTCAATCTTCTTTGCCACCATAGTAGCTTCTGCTTCAGCGTTAAATTCTGTTGATGCCGCTCTTTCTTCATCAATAATTCTTTCCAGCGAACTTACGTTGTCATGCAGTTGCCTGACTTCAAAATTAGCTGAACTCAGCTGAGATTGCCAGTGCTCCACTTCCTCTTCTAATAACCTGATCCTCTCCCTCAGCTTCACAGATTCCATAGTGGCTGATTCAAGCTCTACGCTCAGTTTCTTTCTATTTGCTTCTTCATCTTCCATGTTAGCAGCAAGTTTTGCAGAGAGTGCTTCTTCCTCCTTTAGTTTAGCTTCTAAAGTCTGAACCTTGGTTTGGAGCTCAAAGTTTCCTTCCAATAAGCTAATAGCTTCCTCATTGAGCTTACTAATCTCCAATTGTGCAGACTTTAGCTGACACTCCAGTTCTTTTCTCTTAGCATCAACTTCCTCCATTTGTGCATCAAATATGTGCTTTAATCCATTAGCTGCACTCAGCTCCTGTTGCAGCTCAATCAACCTGTTATCAGCCATCTTTATTTTATCACAAGTAACCTTAAGCTGGTTACGAGTTTCAGACAAAGCCATCTCCATTTCCGTTTTCTCAGCTTCAAACATAACAATCTTTTGAGTCAGCTCAGCCGATTCCCTGCGCAAAACTTCTACTTCCACCATCGATGGACCATCTGTAGTAACCAATTGGTTGGAGTCGCAGTCAATTTTGCGACTTGAGCTTTCATGACAAGCTTCAGGCAACGCGGCAAGCCTTTCCATCTCAAGAAAATCATCCATTAGACTGGTTTCAACAGTAGCCGCATTAAGATTTCTTTTGGTTGCTTTGTTTTGAACAGATTCGACACAAGCCGAGCTAACGACGGTGTTAAGAGGAGAAGATTTACGATTTGCAGCTCGGAGCTTACGACACTCGGCTTCAAGCATGGCCAACTTCCTTATACTTTCCAAATGTTGTTTACTTGCAGTCTCTGCTACTTGAGTGCTAATGTCCCTTTCCAGTGTTCTAAGATGGAGATCTTCAGTTTTTGCAAGCAGTTCGATTTGGAGAGAAGACTTTTCTTTCTCCAGTTCTTGAAGTTTTAGGCACATTTGATGATCAATAATGGAGGAGGCTGTCTCAGCTTTTACTTCGAGCTTCGCTTGAAGCTCAATGATTTGGGTTTCAAGATCAAATTTTTTGTTCTCCCATTCCTTCATCTTCTTCGTCAGCGCATCACGGAAAACTTGCTCTTGTTCCTCTCTCGATTGCCTTCGCTGCCTAACACATTCCTTTAGGGCCGCATCAAGCTGTTTTGCTCGATCTTCAAGAGCAGAGTTCTTCTGCAAAACAAGTTCAAGCTGCTTTTTTAGAGCAGCAACATCCGCCTCAGCCTTTTCCCACCCTGCAAAATAACACAGCAAAGTTTTAAAAGTATTTCCTCCAACTAATATGAAGAAATTGTAGTTCAACAGTGAGACTTGTCTAACCTGTAACAGCTTCTTCTGCAACTTTCACATGCTGCTGATTCTTCTTTAGCACTGATGCTTAGCAAAGCAGCTGATAACTTCTCGTTCAAACTCGTTATGGTCTCATTAGGATCATAAACCATCAGTTTCGATGAAATTTCCGGCGACTGAGTGTTGTTTGGAGAAGCATTAACAGATGAAACTCTCAGACCCTCCTGTTCAGCATTTCAAAATCAGAAATTGCAAGAAAAGCCCAACAGTAAATGTAAAATCCCAATATAACCCAAGTGGATTCACAATTATTAAAGCTTGAGAGCATGCCAACTGTTAGATCTTGTTATACCTTCATAAGATATTTCACTATTTCATTCATAATTTAAGATTATGGGAGGGAAAAATCTTATAAACGAAGAACGGAGCTGAGATGAAATTTATCAAAACAATCAATTTATGGTCGGATTTACGCAGGATTTAAGTGAAATCTTGCTAGATGGTCATTTTGGATAGAACAAATCCCAGGATGTGGTAAAGCTGCATTTCACGGATTTCGGCCGTAAATCTTGGATTTAGTAAATCCTACGAATCGATGGATTTAACTTCACTTGCTCTTGAGATTTAAGGTTCAGTCAGATAACAGCTTTACTGATTTTTTAAACCTGACAGAAATTGCCCAAGAGTTTCAGTAGATTTACAGGATTTAGTAAATCTGTTGTTAGACAGTTTGCTGCAATTAACCCATTCAGGATTTACCATTTACAAGATTTAAGCTAAATCTTCCCGAAAATTGATGCTGCAAAGAAAATTACCCCAATAATATTCCAGATTCAACAATGGTGCAAGTGCAATAATCAAAACAAAAACAGTAAAAACTAGCTCATCGCTGCATTATACACCTGAATCCCATAGATCAGAAATCCATGATATCTGACGAACATCACAATTAGGCCCAGCGATGAATCAATAAACAAACCTGTTCTTCATAAAAGCGCTCGGAATAAGAGGACACTGATCCAGAGCTCTCCGTCTCCGATGATTTCCTCCTCCAAAGCCAGCTCCGCCGATCCATCTCACGCTCCTCAACATCAATCAATCAAATCCATCCATCTTCAACAACAAAATTCATAAGAACATAAGAAACCGATCCAAAACTTTCAAAAAAAGAAGATAAATCAATCACCCAAAAAACAAAGAAAGAAACCTCAAAAATAGCTCAAATCCGACCATTTTGATCAGAAAAAAAACCCTAAAAAATCCACCCTAAATATCGCAATCAGCAACACAAAACCGGATAACTCCTCCTTCCCGCCTTGCTTTCTTTAATTTTTATTCTTTATTTCTGCAATTAGTTACGCGCAGTTGCAGAAGGAGTTCTCGCCTCTTGGGGAGCCCCCCGCTTCCATGATTTCAAAAAGTGAATCTTTGATTATTTGCAGGTTACTGAAACTGGTTTGTGCTGATCGCTAGATCTTGGGATGAATGCATAGCGTGGATTTTTAGCCGTTCGATCGTGGATGATCGAGCGGAGGAAGTCCAGGAAGATTGGCCAATCGTGTGGCGTATTGCATTCCTTTGAACTATTTAATAATATGTGGTATGTTTGTCCATTGATATATATATATATCTCTTAGCGAGCTATATATATATATATATATATGAAGTAAAAATGATTTGTACGGATCTCAAGACAATCTAATAGTTGGTCACCTTCAATCGACAAACCAAACTCTCAACCTCATCCATCTCATTTCGGTCGACCGACCAACTCTCTCATTCAGCCAGTCGGATAGCCCCTTAATTTTAACTATCATCTTTGATGAAATTCACATATAAGCCACTTGATTTTATATGTATTGAATGTCATCACGACCAAGACAAAGAAACATGTACGCTTACAACGATCTCGAGACAATCCAACAGTCATTTGCTTCTCTCTTCAAAGCATAATCAAATATGTAATTTTTGTACTTCTTACTTCTCATATCTTCTATAAATATGAGGGTTTCATAATATAAAAGAGAGACCTTTTTTGGGGTATATCTCATTTGTAACATCTAATTTTATAGAATAAAATGAGTCAGCGTGTCTGAAAATATCCCGACCGGGAAAAGTCCTCCTCATTTCTCTCCCTCTCTCTCAGTTCTCTCATTCTCTCGATCGCCCCTTTTTATATGATCAACATTTGGAACTAAGTTTGTAGGATTGATAGTGCATTAAGTGGGGTAAGAAAATATTGGAAGTTCAACCTCAGTGATAATATGCTAAAATTAAGTTAAATTATTTAAATAATATAATATTATGAATAATGATAATAAATAATTGTGTGTGTGTATAATATTTTAATGCCACGTTTTCATTATATTTTAAAATCAAATAAGTTCAAACAATTCCATTTAATAATTGAGAGATTCGCCACTATTTCTTTTTTTGTCTCTTTTGTTTTTTTCTTACAATTTTATCTTGCTACTCAATTAGAATATAAAATAATTAAGGGATAATTACAGATAGACCGCCTGAAATATTGGTATTTATAAATTAATCACTCGAGTGATTTTTTTTTAACTGTCGAACAGATATATTTATGTGTGCAACGATCAAATTATTGAGAATTTGATAAAAGATGAAATACATGGGTTGGGGTTTTGCCATGAATTTTGAAATTTCAGTGAGAATTTGAAAAGTGGATGAAAGATGGCGGCAATCAATCAAAATTTTCATTAGGCTCTTTTTAAAATAAATTTAATAACCGTGTTGAATCTTGATTTGTCCGTGAATCACACCCAAAGAGTAGAGTTTAAATCACACCCAAGGAGAAGAGTGTAAGTAGAGAGAGAGGGAGGAGGAGTGAATAATAATGAACAGTAATGTCGTATGAATCGTGTCATATTCATAAAATAATCTCCTTATTTATATGTGATAGGGTGCAGTATGATGATTTTATATTTTTTGTCATTATTTGAAATTTCTCAGTACTAAGATATTTTTAATATTTTACATGTATGAGTTTATCGTCTGACTGCTCTCTTTGTCGGCTAATCTTAGTTGGCCTCTAGTGAGGAAGACTTGATTCCTTAAGATCTGCTCGACTAGATGGGATCAGTTTGACCGACTGAGTTTGACCGACTGTCGATCTTTGACTCCTGATGAGGAACCTCTATATTAGATGTCTATGGAACGGTGGGAAATGCTAAAAAGCAAGATTTTCCTTGTATTGACTCTCTTGTGATAATTATCTTGGATTATCTTTTGCCTCATTTTTTTGTTTGAATGGACTGTCTTGCATCTTCTGGTCGTCTTTGATCTGTCTTGTGAGATTGTCAGCCTTGCCCTTATGGCTTTTTCTTTGATAACTTCACTTGCTCAAACAAGTAGACCTCACGGTCTTATGTCGATGGGCCCTCATTCATCACACTCTCTTCTTCTGAATCATTATATCTTCTCAGAACTACCGACACATTTTTTTTTATATACAAGTTCAAATTCTTCTTTCTTAATTGATGTCTTTGCCAATCATCTCCTTTTTTTTAAATGAACTTAAAGTTCTATGCATTGTTCTTTTCAAGACAAGACAAGAGGAATTAAATAAACATCACATGGCAAAAATAAATAAATAAAAGGTTAGGAAAGAGAATAAAACTTATTTCATAAATAAAGGGAATAATAACTTCACTACTCTACAAAAAAAATCTCATATAAAATTCAAAGCAGACTAATGTTGATGTGAAATATCATGTGGTGCATTTGGTAATATATATATATATATAGATGCATGCCTGCACCTTACATAGTTACTATGTGCTTAACAATTCCACATTGAGATTTTGAACTTCAATTATTTTCCTTTTTGGGAAATTTACATGCATGTCTACAATGCTTATGTATTTATACATCAAACACCTAAAGTTTGATACCTACACTTATAATATTTTGGTGTCATGAACATATACTTTAAAAAAAGTGTATTTTGATGTTAAAAAGGTAGCAAGATGCAACTTTTGATGTCATGTTAAAGATTTGAGGAGTATGTATGTAGGGTGGTAGATGTATAAATACATAAGAATTGTGGGATATGTATGCAAATGCATCATTTTTTTTACAAAATTTAATTTTTGAGTTACAATGCCACTCCTGCCCAACTTGCTAATCCTATTACTGTCAAAATTAAATAAATAGAAGAAGAAAAAAAAAGCTTTAGTTATTAGCAAATTAATATGGGACCGAGCAAAGACCTTATGCTTAAATAGCTTCATTTTTTGTCCTTGAGATTAATTAATGAAATTATTATTATATAAATATATATTCAATTTCATATTGTTTCAAATGTGTGGTTTATTATAGATTCCTTTAAATGGTCAATTTATAAGGAAAACTATATGGGCATATTTTGAGATGAGTGTTATATAAATTATAACAAAGTATTTATATATTATGGTTGTTGTGTGACGAAAAATTCACAGCAATAGAGTAACATTTTAATGTCTTAATTCTTGTGTGAAGTTCAAACACACGTATAAAAGAGAAGTAACGAGAAGAGATACCAAAGAGTTTTTACATGAAAAAAAGAAATCCTAGAACAGGAAACAACTACTGGGACTAGCCCAATCGAAGTAATCTACAATGTGTTTGTAAGTACATGGGCGCACACTTCTCCCTTAACATAAAAAACGGGGTAACAATCTTACAAAAAAAAATTACACGTCTTTATACAACACAAAAAATATAGGTGTTAGATACAACAACCACCAGAAGTCGGCAGCAGCAAGCAGTGATAGTCGACTGTGATTGATGGTGGTCGATGGACGGTGGTTGTTGGCTATGAAGGTCAATGGTTATTCGTCATTTTTTCTCACCAGAATAAGCTCTAGAATTTCTCTTCTTTTCTTCTTTTTCTTCCTCTCAAGTGAAAGAGCGAGATATTTATAGCTTTTTGGGGAGGGGCATTTTGGTCATTTGGCGCACAACTCCATTAACCACCTAAACAAACGGTTTGTGCTGAGCCCCATTGATCATAAGTGTTCTTTTAAGGATTGATGTGCCTTAATGACTTTACTAACCATATGATGAGATGGTTCATGTTGATCGGCATTGATCATAGGTAGATTTTAAGGATTTGAATGTCTTAATGACTTTGAAATTTAGTTATCTTAAGCTCGTAGGATTCCTCTCATTAAAATGTTTGATCCTACTATAAATATACCAAATTTGGTGTTCATTTGACCATTCAATTGATGATCCAAAGCATTCAATCATGCTTCCACGACTTGATATGGGTTTGATTAGACCCGAATTGAACCAATTTTGATAACATTAGGTTCATCTTGTCGAGACGGTCAGTTCGACTAAAAACTTGCTAAAATCGGGGCCCAAATGATCTTAAGTTTAAATTTAGAATATTTTTCATAAAACATACATTAAGATTTGTGCTTGATAAAAAATTATTGATGACACATCAATAGTCATCTTAAACAAAATTTTATGATTTAAAACATCATCCTCATGAAATTCCACTCATAATATTCAAACTCATTTTCTTAATACTTAACAATCTTATGATCCCTTGATTATCAAAAATCTTATATATAACTATTTTATGAATAAAAACACATGCAAAGAGGGAACTTTTGTTCAAATGAACAAATTTGATTAAGATAAATATCATATTCTTAAACAATTGCTTAAATATATTATATTTATCTTAGAAAATGTGAAGCATTTTTTTCAAGCAAATATCTTAGTACCAAGTCTCAAGATTCTAAAGGGAGAGCACCACATGGGTGTCCCATTCATGCAGCCCAAAGGTTGCTTTCAGTTGAGGTTTGGATGCCAACAAATTGAAATGCTCCATCTAATATGGACAGCAACGTTTCCTTCATTTCAAAGGTGATGGCAACAGCTTTTTCAGTTCCATGTGCTCGTTCAAGGCAACCATATTGTAGCAAAGAAAATATCATATTGTAATTATGTTGAAAATTATATACGATATAAGTTAGTTCATATAGCAAAGATAATATTATATTGTAGGTTTTAAATGTGACATTTATGGAGAAAGTGATGTTTCAGCATATTTTTAGGGGAAGAAATTTTTTGTTGAAGCAATAGTATATTCTAGGATTAGAGAGAGGAAGTTATGAGCAATTGAGTTTGCAATGTAGGATTATAGACTACAAAGCTATGATTCGAGTGAGTTTGTAGCATATAAGTGATGTGTAGAAAGTGTGATGTAATATTTCCTATGTTTTCTATGTTATTTATATCGTTTTTTTATAATTTTAGGTGATATTTGTGTGTGTATATGTAATATATGGTGAAAACACAATACGGGGACTATAACTAGAACTAGCCTAAAATTCACCCAATTGTCGTGAAGAAGAAGCTCTTTCATGGCGACAGAAAGAGCGGATGGAAAGCAGCGCTATAGTCTGGTGCCTAGGAGCCCAACAGCGATTTTAAACGATTTTCATGATTATGATTTGATTTGAATTTTGAGTGGTTAGTTGGCTCAAATACAAAAACACATGATTTCGTTGGATGGGGAACATCATGTCATTTTCTCTAGTATTTTTTTTTTTTTGTTATATTGAGTA